GACAAAGGCGGGGTATGGGGGGAGGAATGATGCACGAGATGGTGGGCAGATTAGTAGAATGAGTTGGGCCGTTGGTAGAGGACATGCATGTTGCTGCTGCATTGCCCACCCAGAGTCCATCCATAATATTTTTCCTTCCAACAGCACCTGCTGGTGGGATGGCAGCAGGCGGCGCGGCAGCAAAGGTGGGAGGAGGTGATGCTGTGGAATGCCAGAGGGAAGCAGGCAATGCAGATTCGCATCTCAGGTGCACGCCTCGCCCTCTCCACCAGTGAGGTCGCTGTGTGTTGTGTCTCGCCACAGCTGACCAAAATGCATTGATGGGCTGCACACCCTCCACTTAACCGGAGAATGTCTGGAAACTGTAATGGAATATGAAATATCCATAAACAGAGGTTATCGTAACTGCACCCTCTCACTGCACCTCCACCACTCCTACCACTCAAAGTTAGCTATTGCTGCTGCGTGGCACCCTTTTCGTGTCCCTCAGCTCAAGATGATATTGGAGCAATAGAGAGGGCAGGGTACTTGGGGAAGCAAAAGTGATACACAAATATGCGCGCTTACAAGTGATTTATTCAATGTCGCAACACACCAGAACATCGCACACATCAAACCCCCCATGCTACACAACACACCGTCGCCAATTATGTCCACACACTACCGCCAATTACTATATCATACACTGACACAAAGTAGGTATCCAACTGGTGCATGAGGGCGGCGTCGCTACACTCACCGCCCCCAACTGTTCCTCGACGCCGGGAAATATGTGCACGGCGATGGTTTTTTCGAGGTCTGCGCTGGGAGGTAGCCTGCTGCGGCCCAGGAAGTAGTCGCTTCGGGCTCCGGAGTAGCCGGCCTTCCTCATCACCACCTTGACTGGAATTGAAGTGATGTAACTCCTAGTCATCTTGTCAATAGCCCAGTGACCCAATTCGGCTATCTCAGCGCGCGGCGTGCCTTGGTCAGCCAGCTCTTGTGCCCCGCCGGCACCAGCGGCGTGCCCGTTGCGCTTGATGAAAACCTTGTTGGCCGTCCACAGCTGCCGAGTGATTCGTTGCTGGCTCGACGACGGCAGCAAACCCTGATCCTTGTCGTAGCGGGCAAAGAAGAGATGCTTGTCGTACCAGAGCTCCGGTCGGCGTACGTCCAACGGCGGAATTATGCGGACGCCGAAGATCTGGGGGACCTGGTCGTAGATGAAGTGCAGCCAGAGGATTGTATCGCCCACAACACACAGTTCCGCCTCTAAGTGCCTCGCCGCGTAGCTGTGATGAAGACGGGCGTCCTTGCACATCTTCAAGTAGCGCTGCGCGATGACCATGACCATTGGCCGGTTGTCAAGGTTCACCGACGGCCCGCTAGCAAGGCGGTACAGAAAGATGTCGGCGAGCGTGATCTCGCGTACGCTGGCACCGCGGAGCAGAGTGTGGTGCGATAGCAGGGTCATCGCTCTCATAAGCATGAACTTCCACAGAGTCTGGGAAGGACCTGTTCCCCCCGGATTCCACGCCGTCGCCGACCAGTGCGGCAACACTTTGAACATGATTCTGCGGAACTGCTCGGTGGTGTAAGTGTCGCCGATGGTTCCGCGATGTCGGTCGACATATTTTCTGCAGAAGAGGAGAGTGCGAGGGTGATGATTGAGTGTGAGCAGCGCCGGTGAGCATTGGCGGGAATACTAGAGTGGACTGGCAAAGTCGGCGATGTTAAAACATCTTACTTGGTGCCGGCTTTGTTCTTTCCGCGAACCATGACGCGCACTTCCGTGCGGATGACCGAGATGTCCTGCATGATGTGCAGCTCCTTCTCCTTGTACAGGGTCGCCTCTATCTTGGCCGCCATCTGAAGGGCCTTGATGCGGCCGAGTAGCATGTTGACCGTGCAAGGCTTGATCGGCTGCGCAAGACGAAGAAGGGTGAGTAGTTATGTGAATTCAACTTCTGCTCTGTTTTCTTTCCATGTCTCTAACGGCTCGCTACCCATGCCTTTGTCCCACACGCAGGGAACCTCCGGAGGCCTCCGCACCTCGTGGTGCTGCAGTGGATCGTAGAGGCGTGGGATCAAGTCCCCAAGCACGTCATCATTGACGCGTTCCGCCACTGTGGAATTTCAAGCAAGCTGGACGGGACGGAAAACCACCTGGTGATGTCTCACCTGCGTGCCAGGAGCACTGTCAATGTCTCCGAGGACATGAGCCTTGGGGGAACCACGGGCGACAACACGCGCCTGCTTGGGCAGGCGCCAGAGGAGGAGGAGGAGATGGAGGCGGAGGGTGTGAAGGAGGTGGCCGTGGCAACCAGCCTGGAGGTGCTGTACCAGGAGACCCCCAATTACCGCGGAGCGGTGGCTGAGGTTGACCGCATGATCGATCCTAGGGAGACGGCCAGGCATGCCTGGCGAGTGCCAGACTTGGGTGTTGACCCTGCTGTTAGTGCAGGGGAGGAGGCCATGACTGAGGAGGGCTAGGTAGAAGTAGATATTCATAGACGTACATGCATATACCCCCTAAAGGAACTAGTGATCGTTTAGAAGACACCCCCTGTTTACAAGAAAACCCCGAAACCCCTAATCTGATTATAAGACATATATGTCTTATCTCGTACACACAAATCGGTGTCTTATAATGAGGCTAGCCTGTTTATAAGAGACAACCGGATAATAGACAACCCCTGTCTATTATTCAACACTGTCTGCTATCCGGGCGATGACGGTAATATGATATACCGTAGCAAATCCTTTTCCATTCCACATATCTAACCCGCAAAGCATCACATGCTCTCTCCCTGTATCCTGTGCATCCGGACCAGATCCCTAGAGTGCAGCGATTATACGCCGATTCAACCTTTTTTCAAGGGTTTTTCACCTAGCTAGGCTGAGTTGGCAGCCTTTGTTCCCCTGGTTTGGCTGAACTTTTGGACTTCTTTTTGTGTAGCTTTTCTGAGTTTCCAGATTTTTTTCACTCTCAGACTGAAACCAGTGTTCAGAACTGATTTTGCACATAGCGAGACTCTCATCCCCCCTCAAATTACAAGATTGCGTTGCATCCCCACCACCCCATCCTCTCCGCCCCCCCCACCCCCCCCCCCCCCCCCCTCCTCCCCCCTTTTTACCCCCCACATCCCTCCTTCCACCATCCCCCACCCAACCGACAAATTTGGCCCGGTAGGGTCGTTTTGCCCTCGGTAGCGGGCTTGGTAGTGCTACCAGGCTCCGAGCCCCCTGCACGCGAGCTGGCTCCAGCTGTGCCATCCAACCCCCTCCACCCTCCACCACTCGATCATCGATCATGGCCAGTTACCTCAGGTTTTACGCGTGACCCTGCAATGCTGTCAATACACTTCTTGAATTCGACATTTCAAGTGTAAGTCAAACATGTAACTTGTAATTTCCTATTTGCTAAAACACACCATTAGATTATGTACCTAGGCTGAATCATCAGCTTAAATATTACAGTGAACACTGAATCTTTAAACTTTATGGGTGGAAATCGCTGAACTCCCAGCTTCAGCTGATGGATCAGCCAACCCTGATCCAGACAAAATCCACTTCTGTTCAGTGCCTTGTCATCTGCTACACATGGGCAACAAAGGGTTTGATTTCTTCACAGCCCTTTCATATGCAATGCCATGTCAGATGCGGTAGAGGAAGAGTCTCTTGAGAGGAATGAAAGCTGGCGACAAAAGCGTGAGTATAAGGGGTTTTGAGAGAGAGTGGGGAGCGTAAAATCGTAATCCAGTGGCGATAAGGACCCTATGGTATGTACAAAGAAAAAAGGACTTGGGTGAAAAAAGAAGGGACTTGCACCCATGAACCCCATTGCTCACTCATCGACCCATCAACCGCACCAACCATTGCTGACTTATCGACCCATGGCTGGCTGACTGACCCATGGTTGACTGATTGATTCATGGTTAACTGACTGACCCGTGCCTGACTTACTGACCCATGGCTGACTGACTAACCCATGGCTGACAGACTTACCCATGGCTGACTGACTGACCCATGGCTGACTGACTGACCCATGGCTGGCTGACTGACCCATGGCTGACTGACTGACCCATTGAAGTCCCTTGATCTCACCATCACATCACACCATCACACAATCGTCCCATCACATCAGCACACGATCTTCCTGTCAACCCATCAGCCTATTACCCATCTTTCCATCAGACCATTACCCCTTCGGCCATCGTCTCGTAATCCCTGTAGGAGGATGGATAGGATACTGTGTGCAGGTGAGAAAGGACGGGGATGAAACCAAAATGGGAGGGGTGGGAGGGGGGAAGGGGTGGGAGTCAGAGGAAGGGGCGTTAAGGGGGTGGGGTGAAAAGGAGGCGCTGAGAAACGGGAGGGAGGAAGGGGATGGAATCGAAAGGAGGAGAGAGGGTGGAGAGGGAGGGAGGATAGGGGGTAGAGCGGGAGGAGAGAGGAGGAGCGGGAGGGAGGATTGGGTGGGAATGATGGAGGAGGGGGAGGGAGAACGGGAGGGAGGAGGGGAGGTATGGGGGAGAGCCGTGGTGGGGGAGTAGGCAGCAGTGACAGGCCTTTTAAGTAGTTGCAATGCCTGTTCCCAAAGTACTCATTTGCCTGTCTGTAAACTTCTCATTAACACAACAGACCGACACTTGGCCTAATTGCTCCAATGTACCTAATAACGTAATAACTGAGCTTGATCAACGTTCACACCTCCTCACCATCGGCCCTCCTGCTGCTTCATTGGCACCTGTGACCCTCCCCGTGGTCCTGCAGCAGCAGAAGCGACCCTCCCTCCCTACTGCCAAGCACACAACCTGTTCTTCTGAAGGACGGACACAACCTTGACAAACCGAAGCTGCACCGAGCTAGCGCTGGCTGAGGCTGAGCCAGATTGGAGGAGCAGGTGGCCCGGAGCAACAGAGCCATGACCCCGTCGCCCCGACTCCTCTCTCTGCCCTTCTGTGAATCTTCGCCACTGCCCCTTCTCCCTCCTTGGCCCTGGTGGTGAGAACTGCCCTTTAGTGTTGGCCGACTAGCTTGTCACAGTCCCCAAGACCTCCGCCCCCCGGCCCCCTCCTGGTCTGCTTTTCACGAGCCTTTCCTACGCTGTGTCCTTTCACCCGCTCCTCCTCTGCTGTGTCCTTCTTCCTATGCCTCCCCTTCCTGGTACCCTGGCACCACGATCATGGGAGGGTACTCAAATTCCATATCAACACATCCCAGGTCGCCCCATGCTCTTTAGTAATTCTTCTGTTTGCCTTGCTTTTGCTTAATTTGTCTCTGCGTGTTGGTGTGTTGTAGGACTTTGTATTTATGTGGTGAATTATCTATTGTTGTTTGTGCCAGGCCTCTTCTGAACCAGGCCAGCCTGCCTGTGGCAAGTGTCAATGCTAACCCAAGTTTGTCTTACAGTTATGATGTGTTATCAAAGGTGAAACCTATGAGTTGAACCTAAACTTAACTGAAACCTGAAGTGTAACTTGCTCTAATAAGATAACACAATGATAATCATGAGAGTGAACTCTAGCCTATTCCAATATTGCCGTCACCATCCCCTCCTCCTGCTACCTCGTTGGTGCAGCATTGCTGGCACAGCGGCCAGCTCAGCAGCAGCAGCAACACAAGGACAGCCACAGTGCCAGCAGCAGCAATCCCAGCCATGGCTTCGCTGAATAAACCGCCCCTCCTTTGGAGGGAGAGGCGGAGGGTGCATTAGGAGCTGAAGTGGGAGGAGGTGGAGAAGGTGCTGGCGCTGGCGATGAGGAGGGTGCTGTCACTGGCGATGGTGAGGGTGCTGGCGCTGGTGATGGAGAAGGTGCTGGCGCTGGCGATGAGGAGGGTGCTATCACTGGCGATGGTGAGGGTGCTGGCGCTGGTGAGGGTGCTGGCGCTGGTGATGGAGAAGGTTTTGGCACTGTCGATGGGGACAATACAATAATGGGATCGGAAGATGAAGAAAGGGAAGGGAAAGGGAAATCAGACATGGGGATGACGGTGGGCTTGGTGAAAGTGGATGTGGCATCAGGCACATTTTGCACAGTGAGCGGTAGCAAAGAGAGGCATTGACGGGTTTAAATGGGTACTCTTCATTAAAAGCCAAGCAAAGGCATGCAACAGGATGCGGATGCGTGAGGATGCGTGATGCGTGACACTAGGAAATATTGTTCTATGGGTTCCTGATACCTGGAAAAAAAAATCTGACACTGAAAAAGCTTGTTGAATGGGTGGCAATGTGGTGTTCATGCACTTGGCATGAGAGCAATGTAAGAATAGGCAATACAAATTGCAGCTACCTGCGTAAGAAGCGTCTCACCTGGTGGTGGCTTGTCACATGTGGTGCAGAAGGAGCCGCACTGGCTGCAGAAAGCACTTGAAGTGGTCTGTGGGACCACGCAGCTTCTGTAGTCAGGAGGGCATGTGATTGCAGTCGAAGACATGTTCCTGCATGTGCACGTGGAGCATTTATAAAACAAAGAATCGGAAAAGGGTTTCAGCTCGAAGTGGAACGCTCTGAGGTTGCTATTGGAGTTGTATGGAACACATTGCAATACTCTACTATGCCAAGGTGTTATACAGGCTGAAAACAATGATGAACCATACATTTGCATATAACCGCCTTTTGAAGACGGCCTGACGTGGAGGTTTGGGTTGGGCCAGTCCAAGTTAGGTCCTTGTGTACCTCCTGCCTGTGGCCTTAAACACTCTTTGGCTATGGTACACCACTGGAGCACCTTGTATACCTCCTCTTCATGAAACGCTCCAAGGCTGCTATGATGGACATTGCAACACTTGAGCATGCTAGAATGCCTTACAGGTACGTAAGATTAGTGAGACTTCCTATTGCTGGTGGGAGTTGGCCAGTGAGGTTGTTCTGGCTGATGTCACTGCAACGGATGGAAATGGCAAATAAAAGTTGTATGAGACACAGTCAGGGCATCGCTAACAAGTTTTTTGTTGGTCAAATGTGCAGAGATTCAAGTACGAAGAAATGAACCAAGGATGTAACACGGTTAATTGAGTTGTGGTGGGGATTTTTGTTCAACCAGCGTGACTGAGTCCAGTAAAGCATGTGCCTATAAAGCTAAACATGACATACTTTCTGGCCATGGAAAAGACATCTTGGACTCAACACAGGCCATTTTTCGGGTTGAAGAACGTTGAGCCAAGGAAGTCCAAGTTCAGCCTTTGGTAATTAATATACCTCCTACCTCTATGGGCGCGAATGGTCCACTGTCTATGTCTCATCTGTGTTGCAAGCTGGATGCATTGTGAGATCCTTATTGTATCCTGATGCACGCTGTTATCTGTCATCGTTACTCTCATATATTCTCATATCTCACACTCATTGGTGCATGCAAAAAACTCCTTTTCATGACATTCCTCTCTTGACAAGCCGGCAACAGGCAAGCCACACGAGCTTGTGGCTCCCCTCGGCTACACTTCATGGATAGGATCGCTGGCACTAAAAAACTGGCAGGACCAACCTTCGGCTCATGACAAGCTGGCCACTGGATGGCTATCAAACCATGATGGTCACCCACAGCTCATCACGAATTGGTTACAGGCCATTGCTCATGCGTTGCTCAGGCTCATCTCTGCATATGCCCGAGTCTACATGATCACACTCATGTGTGCATGCTCCCACCACTCATACTCACAAATAGGTTAGCCTGTCCAAGGCACTGATGGAATCAGGAAGGGATCCAGTTAAGCCATCGTCATACAGATTCCTGGTGCGCAGGTCGGTCCTTGTGTACCTTATGCCTGTGGCTTTAAACAAACTTGGGCAATGGTACTCGACTGGAACACCTTGTATGCCTCCTCTTCATGAAATGCTCCTAGGTTGCTATGATGGACGTTGCAATACTTCAACATGCTAGAATGCCTTACAGGTATGAAAGATGAGTGAGACTGCCAATTGCTGGTGGGAGTTGGCCAGCGAGGTTGTTCTGGCTAATATCACTGCAATGGATAGAAATGACAGGTAATAGGCAGAATAGACACAGTCAAGGCATTGCTAACAATATTTTTTTTGGTGTATACATGGAAGAGAGAGATTCAAGCACGAAGAAATGAACCAAGGATTGGTAGAAGGTAGTAGACAATCAGAGAGGATATGGAAAGGGCATAGATTGTGGGAAGGTCTGCATATTTCAAGAGGCGATTTCAGGTTAGCATGGTTAGTTGAGTTGTGTTGGAGAATTTTGTTCAACCAGCGTGACTGAGTCCAGTCAATCATGCGCCTAAAAAGCTTAACATGACATACTTTCCAGCCATGCGAAAGACATCTTGGACTCTACACAGGCCATTTTGTCGGGCTGAAGAATTTTGAGTCCAGGAAGTCCAAGTTCGGCCTTTGGTAGTTCACATACCTCCTACCTATGGCCAGTGCAAGTTCTCTATGGGCTTGAATGGTCCACTGTCTATGACTCATTTGTGTTGCAGACTGGATGCATTGTGAGCGCCTTGGCATATCCTGATGCACGCTCTCATCTGTCATAGTTACTCTCATATATTATCATATCTCACACTCATTGGTGCATGCGAAAACTCCTTTTCATGACATTCTTCTCTTGACAAGCCGGCAACAGGCAAGCCACACGAGCTTGTGGCTCCCCTCGGCTACACTTCATGGATAGGATCGCTGGCACTAAAAAACTGGCAGGACCAACCTTCGGCTCATGACAAGCTGGCCACTGGATTTCCATCATACCATGATGGTCACCCACGGCTCATCACGAGTTGGTTACAGGTCATTGCTCATGCCTTGCTCAGGCTCATCTCTGCATATGCCCATCTCTACATGCTCGCACTCATGTGTGCATGCTCCCACCACTCATACTCACAGATAGGTTAGCCTGTCCAAGGCACTGATGGAGTCTGGAATGGATCCGGTTAAGAAACTCTCATACAGATACCTGGTGGGAAGTGGAATGGAATGGGTGGAGAGCATTACAAATGATATGAGGATTACCCTAAACCCTAATCAATTCAAATGAGAAGAGGTCCATGCAACCCACATGTTTTCCAGCCGTGCCTACATGCATAGAGGTGATAGAAACCTGAGAGGTGCATTAGGGTAGCATATAACTATAGGTTCATATTGAACGCATGTCAATATGAGCCAAGCAAGGGAAAATGATGGAAACGGGGAAGGGGAGGTGGGGGTGATAAAGGTAGATTAGACAGCATTAACACCTTTTACCGCTTTCAAATGTCTGACTTCCCTTTCCACGTTTTCGTATGGATGAAACGTTCTATGGTGACATTTTGAAGAAGCGGATTTGCTTTTAATAGATGGCACTGGCATTGTGAGTCTCATTCCGACACAGAGTTCTGCATGGGAACTCCAAGCACGTAGCAACCTGTCCAGCGGACACCCAGCACACTCACTGCGAACGTTTCCACATCTCTCCTTCCACTTGCCCATTTTCTCTACTTCTCCCTTGACAGAATCCATCGAACTGCTTTCCCAAATGAACCTGCTGCAGTAGCAACTGTTGCCATGCCCCTCGGCATGTCTCCTAGTTCCCTGGCCTGGGTATGATAGAACTACTAGAACTGTGACTGTCCTGCTCGCTCTCTCCCTCAATAAAATCCCATGTCTTCAACCATTTCAAACACTAGCAATATTAGCACATTAGTTGCGGGGTCATTCCAGAGATCCAAGGGAGTATGCTTTTTAATATTGTGTTGCAACATGTAAGTCAAGCATGTGGAGGGACATGGTAGGGACGATTCCAAGAGCAGATAGCGAGTTTGGACGAGAGGAGGACCGTGGGATGAACGGTTCAAGAAGCAAGGGAGTGCACGTGAACAAAATTAAAACACAAAAAGTCGTCCAGGGAATGCATAGCCAGCAAGAGCTAACATGCCGAAATGTAACAAGGGATTGCAAATACAGAGCACGCGGAATGGTGGAGAGAGGAAACAGAGGAACCAAAGTCAAGGCCAGCAAGTGCTGGTATGCACATGGGGGATGGAAGACCAGTCAGAGTTTGGTGCTCTCACATGCTGGTCACCATGCCTTGCGCATCGCACTCCACACCGTAGGCCAATCTGCAGTCCCCCCCAGCCACCCATCCAGAGAAAATCATCCCCCACGCTTGCTGCAAGTCCTGCAGGACTTGGACTGGCGGCAGATGTGGGGGAAAGGGGGGCAGGAGGGAAAGAGAATGATAGAAGGAGGGGCTGTGTCGAACACTTCTCTTCTCTCCCTTCTCACTCTGTTCCACACGATCGCGGAATGGACACATGTGACGGTGAAGTACCCAGAAACCGTGACTCGGACACTAAAAATGATAAGCGTGAAGCATTATGCGCACAGAAGCATGGGCATAACGTGATCACTGGTTCATAGGAGGTTTTAACAGGGGAGGAGCTCAAATAGGAGGTAAGTGTCGTTGGAACGAGCGGTCCTGAGCTCCATTAGGCACAGCGAGAGATTAAAAATAAAAATTTCCCCCACCCATCCACCCATAAAAAAAAACACAAAAAAAAACACCCATGCCAATAATATAAAAATGAAATAAAAATAAAAATATGATTATATAATAATTTGCCATTGCTGCATCCACCCATGGCAGCAAGCTACCCAGGCATAAAAAATCCCCCCCTGAGCCTGCCGGAAGGAGAGGGGCCAAAATGGAGCAAGATAGAGAAAACACAAGGTGAGAGATGCACCCTGCTTCTGAGGGGGTGGGAGGGAAGAAGAGATTAATTGATCAGCTCATCAGCGTCGCGTGGTCTTCCCTCCCTCTCTCAAACACCGCACGAGATATAATTAGAGCAAAAAGATGTGATGGGCAGGCATGAGGAGATTGTGTTCCACATGATGTGGTTGAGAGAATATTCGGGGAATCGCTATGCTGAGAAACGATTTGCACACTGCTGCAATTCAAATCTTGAAATTGGCCGGTCAATCTTGATCATTGGATCATGGATCTGACGGACTCCGTGCATCGGATACGTGTGAAGCCGTGAC